TGTGAAGGGCAGCAGTGGCTCGTGAGGATTTTGCTGCAGCAGCAGCAGCACAGCAGCAGCTACAAACCCTCGCTTCGTTGCTGCGGCGTTCTGCTGCTGCTGCGCTGCTGCTGCAGCAAGACACAGACCCCCTAAACCCTTCTGACGAAGAACTATCTGAAGGCGAACTACTACGCTGTCTCAATCAAAAAGTAAACCCTAAACCCTAAACCCTAAACCCTAAACCCTAAACCCTAAACCCTAAACATTAAACACTAAACACTAGATAAACAGTAGATGAATCGAACATTCTTTAGGTTTATGGTTTAGGGTTTAGGGTTTAGGGTTTGGGGGTTAGGGTTTGGGGTTTAGGGTTTGGGGTTTAGGGTTTAGGGTTTAGGGTTTGGGGTTTAGGGTTTAGGGTTGAGGGTTTGGGTTGGTTGCAGCTACCATCGTTTGAGGCGGATGATCGCATCGACGAATTCAAAAGGAAAACAGAGGTTAGGGTTTAGGGTTTAGGGTTTAGGGTTTAGGGTTTAGGGTTTAGGGTTTAGTGTTTAGGGTTTATGGGTGGTTATTGTGTTGCTGCTGCAGGAAGCAGCCCTACCAGGGCGTCAACCAGCAGCAGCAGCAACAGCAGCAGGAGCAGCAGCAGCAGGAGCAGCAGCAGCAGCAGCAGCAGATGCTGATGCTTTGTCTCCGCTGCTGGCTTTCTGGCCCCCGCATGTGGTGGAGTGTATAGGCAGCAAAACCCCAGACAAACGAGCTGAGGGTTTTGCTGCTCTGCTGCAGCGGCTGCAGCAGGAAGATCAGCTGCGGCAGCAGCAGGAACGTGAGACATAACAGCAGCAGCAGCAGTTGCTGCTGCTGCCGCTGTTGCTGCTGCTGCTGCTGCTGTTGCTGCTGCTGCTGCTGCTGCTGGTGCAGCAATAAGGACGAAGTGATGCGCCTGTTGCTGCTGCTCCGGTTGTGGTTGCTGCTGCTGCTGCTGCTGCTACTGCTGCACCTGCTGTTGCTACTGCTGCACCTGCTGTTGCTGCTGCTGCTGCTGTTGCTGCTGCTGCTGCTGCTGCTACTGCAGCAAACTTGCTTCGATCTGAGAAGTTTTTTGAGGCCTTGGCCCTCGGCATGCAGAAAGCCTTCACAGACAAAACCCTCAAAGTGCAAACCCTAAACCCTAAACCCTAAACCCTAAACCCTAGAAACCCTAAACCCTAGAAACCCTAAACCCTAATATATTACTTCTGGACCTCCAACCCTAAACCCTAAACCCTAAACCCTAAGCGCTGATAAACGATCTGTAGGCTACATAATAAACTCAATAGACAGTCCTAAGTCAAGGGTTTAGGGTTTAGGGTTTAGGGTTTAGGGTTTAGGGTTTAGGGTTTAGGGTTTTGGTGGTGCAGGTGCTGCTGATAGCCACGGAGATGCTAACATTTCTGACGGATCAGCCGGCGGTCCCTACTGCATACTTTCATACTCCAGCAGTGAAACCCTAAACCCTAAACCCTAAACCCTAAACCCTAAACCCTAAACCCTAAACCCTAGTATTGGTTGTGATAGATAGTGAGTAAAACCCTCAACGATTGCAGCAACCCAAAACCCTGATTCCCCCGTATGAAAACCCGCAGAATTTTCTAGGGTTTAGGGTTTAGGGTTTATAAAGGGTTTAGGGTTTAGGGTTTAGGGTTTAGGGTTTAGGGTTTAGGGTTTGTGTGTGCAGTTTATAGAGGTGTTAGATGCAGTGTGTTTGGGGGTTTGTGGCGACTACCACCAACGCATGCAGCAGCTGCTGCTGCGGCTGTGCCAGCTGCGGCAGCTGGGGGTTTTGGTTTGTATGAAGGGTTTAGCTTTTCTTGCTGCTAGTGTTGCTGCTGAGCAGCAAGAGCTCAAATCTGCTGCTGCTGCTGCTGCTGCTGCTGCTGCTGATACTGATCCTGCTGCTGCTGCTGCTGCTGCTGCTGCTGCTGGAGATGCAGCTTATAAACCAGAC